ATACAACAGTCACTACACTGAGGGATTCTCCTGCTCTGGATGATGCCATTGACTTCTTTGAATCCCACCACTGTGTCATGCCGACAGATGGTTTGTATGAAGTGCATCCCCGACAAGCTTCAGATCTTGATTGGTTTGAGTGCAACATGGCTGAGCTGTTTGATTTAGACCCCACCTATGTGACACCAGTCATACCTCCAGAGTTTGAAGTTTACGAGTCCCATCGACGACCATCTGTTCTCTTTTCCCCCGAGGCACCTATCGACTTTGACATTGAGTCTACTCCACTGCAAGACAAGATCATAGACTCTTCTCACAAGTCCTTATACTCTGAACCCCGACACAGCTCGCGCCGCAAGACACGTTCTGAGGATGGGAGATGGAATCCAAAGGACAAAACTGAACAACCAAGCCCGCCGCCACGTGACCCAAATGCCTATGAGTCGGTCCCTGTAGTGGAACCTGTCTACAAGAACCCGAGCTCAGCAGTAAAATTGCGTGAACGTGACTGGGAACGCCTTCGCAAGCACTTTGCTTGGCTACCCAAGCTGGTTATTCAGAAAACATTTGACTGTACCACACAACTAGCACAAATACCTATGAGTGCACACCTCTAGCGTCATTACCGTTCTCCGTTTCCAGCCCTCAATGTCAACCGCGGTAGTGAAGGAGTTGCTACAGATACTGTCTATGCAGACACACCCAACATTGAACATGATCATGTAGCTGCACAATTCTATGTGGGGATCTCCTCTCTTGTCAGTGACGTATATGGTGTCAATACTGATGCACAATTCCTTCAGACACTCCAAGATAATGTACAAAAACGAGGAGCACCCAACAAACTTGTGAGCAATCGTGCGCAGGCTGAGGTTTCCAAGGCAGTGAAGGACTACCTCCAATGGCTCTGCATTGATGATTGGCAGAGTGAACCACATCGTCAGAACCAGAACCCGGCTGAACGAAGGTACCAAGACATCAAGCGACTGGCCAACAGGATTCTAGATCGAACTGGAGCACCTCCAAGCCTTTGGCTTTTGGCACTTTGTTACGCTTCTTTTGTCTACAACCACACTGCTGTGCAGAGCTTAGGATGGCTGACTCCCATCCAAGTGCTCACTGGCATTACTCCAGACATAAGTGTTCTTCTCCGCTTTGCATTTTACGAGAAGGTATACTATAAAACGGAGGAACCCAGCTTCCCTTCTGATTTGCCTGAATCCATTGGTTATATGGTAGGCATCGCCGAGCATGTTGGTCATGCAATGACATACAAGATCCTCAACCCGGAGACAAACAAAATCCTGTTTCGGTCTGAGATCCGCTCTGCAGCCTCACCCAATGACCCCAACAAACGTCTTGATCCATCTGATGGGGAGGAGTTGACATCCCCTACAGTAATCAAATCCAAATCAGACAATGTCAAATCTGTTGTTTACTCTAGTGATGATGAGTCAGATAAAAAGGACGTTGTTGTCAAGAACAAAGATCTCATTGGTCGTACCTTTCTCATGCAACCCAACGAAGAAGGACATGTACATCGTGCCAAGATCGTGGAACTCATCGATAAGCACGATGACAAGACAACCAACAACCCAGCACATCTCAAATTCCGTGTCAGCATCAACAATGACCAGTATGAAGATGTGATGGCCTACAATGAGATTTTGGAGAGACTGGAAGCTGATGAAGATAATCCAATTGTTTGGAAGTTCAAGCGAATTGTGTCACATCAAGGACCACTTCGACCTGATCATCCATCATATATGGGTTCCACTTACAATGTAACAATGGAATGGGAGAATGGGGAGATAACCCCAGAACCACTGAGTATCATTGGAGCCGATGACCCAGTGGCTTGTGCAATCTACGCAAGGGATAACAACCTACTCGATACCCCTGGTTGGAAGCGTTTTAAAAATAGAAAAAGAAAACACGAAAAACGAAAAGCACCGAACCGATCGGAACTTGCAAACGGTCTTCGTAGTCTAAGTACCAGAGTCTACGTAGAACTTGCTGAAGTTTTTATCAATTCAACGGCATTTCACTGTTTTACAATGGGGAAGTCTACATCACTGAAGGTTGTCTCAACGACTGCCAACAAGGCGGGCGGGTCCACACCCAAATCGGTTTCTGTCGCCAAAAAGAGCGGAAAGAAAAGATTGGAAAATGCATCTGCAGTTGATTTACGTCAACCTAAGGACAGGGATCCTACTGTCAACAATGATTCGGAGATTCGAGAGCTGATCGCATCTCTCCCACCACTGATCGACTTTGGGTTATCTACTCACGAATTGATTGCTATCGGGTACGACTATAATTCAACTAAGATTTCGTTTGGTAACTCCATTTACAATCAATGGATGATCGGTGGACCCAAGCGCTCCCAAGGTTTGACAGCCCGTTCAAGGACCTCTACGCTAATTATTCAGTTGAAGTAAGGGTGAACATGCTATTCGCTCAATATGCGAACGATTGGCGACGGGTGTTGAAATTCCTAATTTCGCTTTTTGACGATGACGCCTTGGGAAACGTGGAAAAAACTACAGAATACACATGGGGAGTGAGAGTGGCTAGCAGTACCATCATTCAGAGCTTTTGCAATTGCGTAGAAACCCTGACTTGATGCATCCTTGTGCCAAGTAGATTGTTCATGGAACTTTGCATCCGTTAGAGCAAGTTCTATACCGGATTGTCCAAATTCCAAAGCAACCTTAGATGTCCAAGGCCAATATACAGTAGATTCGCCACTGAATGGTTCGACCTCTGGACAGCGAAACTTCATGCCTTGACGTTCGCCAATTGCTTTTGTCAAATCAATAGGAGTAGTAGGAATATTTTGTTTTGCTTGGTCAATCGAAAATTGCACAATCTTTTGGTAGGTAAGACTGGGATCGATGGCCACAGAAGGGGCAGATGCGTAGAGGAGAAACTTCTTGAGGCGCCCAGTGATGACACCGCGAATTAGGCCGCCATCTGGGAGGGCATTCTCTCCATGACTGAGTAAGTCATCTACATCCTGTCCTTCAAGATCAGACGGTTTCTCAACACCAATGTGGTCAAAGAAAGTCTGAAGCGCGTCAAACATCGGTTTGGTCGGATTCTCCTTGTTAAAGACAATCTTTGTGATGAGCAACGCCTCCGGTTTGGTGAATTTGTCATGCACCACAGGAGGAAGTGCCGCGGCAACATTTTCATCAACTGTATTGTCAGTTTCCTCAGGATTTTCACCAGAAAAATCAACAGTCTTGCTAGGAGTGACGAAACTATTGTCTGCGGGTGTAGTTGAAGGCATAATATGAGCTTAGTTGGTAGAACTGCGAAGCGACTTGTTAATCGTCAGTAACTCATAGAGTGGCTAGATGAACGTGATGAATGATGTGATGTATGAGGACATACGGACAGACGATCTAGTAAGTCGTAAGACGACTAACTCGATCCTGACACATTGCAAGTCGCTCAGCAGATTCCGTTTTCCTTTTTTGATGTCGGCCTTGTGAACAATTCCAAAGTTCCACAAGAAGATCTGTATTTTTTGAGGGACAATAGGACGAATCCCGCTCTATGTAATGAGACTCCCCTGGTGCAGTTTTGGTTGATGTGTGCTTCCATTTTTGATCACCCATGGACGATGCTTTTTGACGAATTTCTCGAGGAGTCCCCAATCTCTTGCATTCAAGAAATAAAATTGAA